TAGGTTCACCTGCTGTGTGTGGGTATATATTACCTTCATTGTCTCTAAGGAGGAAGGTTCCGTTGATGGCTTCAGAAACTCATCTAACACACAGATGGTATCAGCCTATGAGTATCCTCCGGGCTGAGGCTATCTGTCTCGGGAGGGTTACAGCCTGCCCCAGCTCTGCTCTGCAGGGTAATCTCTCCATGCTACACCGCTGACACTATCAGCGTCCCTACCGGACAACTGATTTTCCATGGCAGTTGCTCTTCCACGGGTTTATTTCTAATCTCTGCAGTGCAGTTGTGTGTTTTCTCCCCCACTGGTTTCACACAACCTCTACTCTCCCACCTGACTGCTGTGCCCTGACCTCTGCTTTGCAGGGCTATTCTGCATGCATGCAAAGCCACACCGGTGACTAAAGAGACCTTGAAACGCCTTCCCTGTCCCAGTGCGAGGCCTCTGCTACGAGGAGTATCTTTCTGGGACTTCCAGTCTCAGTTCCTACCCTCCGTTGCTTACCCTTCCTCACTCGGTGGATTCTCCACAGCATTGCTACTGGAGAGGGTTATGCAAATATATGCAACCCAGGGCTCATTTTGGAATAAATCAATTTAAATTAAAATTAATGAACAAAAAGTACAGAAACAGATCAAGCAATAAAGCCATTTCTCTCTCCTCCCCCCGTGTCTCTCTTTTTTCTTTAAGAAAGCTGTTTTCTTTATGCCTTTTTTGAGGAAGAAGCAGACTGGGTTTCATTTTTTTAAGCAATCTCAGCAAACAGGAACTGTCTGTTGCTATTGAGAAAAACCCATGAAGCGATGCTAGTAGCTGTAGTAGAAACAATTCTTGGCATTTCTCTTTTTCCTAAGATGCTGTTTCCAGCTACATCACTCCTACCCCTTTTGGAAGACACCATCGTCACCTCTGACTTTGATTTTATTCCCTTTTAACCACACGGTCAAAGTAAGATACAATGCCACCCCTTGCCTGGCACCTATGAAATAGCCAGAAACAATATGATGTTGGCCTTCTGCCTTCGCCCTGCCTTGTCTGTCCTGTTCCCTTGGCCTGAAACCCCCCAGTCTTGGCACTCAATGCACTCCCAGCCTTCAGTGCCTGCGGACCTGGCAGGGATGGGCATGGACCCCGAGCAGCAAGAGAAGCTTGGCGTGCCTGAGCAATCCGCCCTGCAGAGCCACCCACTTCTGCACTCACCACACGGAGAATGAGCTGTTTGGAAAATCTGTCTGGATACCAGCGTTGGAAAGCAAGCAGAGCCGTGAATTGTGCTTCCTGCCCAAAGTCATGGGCATTACCCAGTGCCAATGTCTGACACTCTGCTAGGTTTCAGGGAAGAGGGAGATGTGCTCCAAGTAGTCAGGCACACATCACTGCAGAGTGATGAGTACAGCTGAGCTATGGCCCCTGAATGCCTGAGAATTTATGGAAATACCAGATGTGCCCATGGCTCCAAACATACCTGTGCTTGGTCCCTATGATGGCCATTATTTTTCCCTGCTGGCAGTTCCTACCTCAGGATCACGCTAGGACAAGATTGGCTATTTTTGCCACTAGAGAAAGGAAAGGGGAGCAGGGATGGGTGGAGGCGACCACTGCAACAGATGAGCTGTCTTCTCCACAGCCAGGACCTCCATAGGGAGGGAAGAAGACTGAGAGGGTATTAGAAAGAAATATGCTCTCTGTTTCCCACTCTGGTCACCAGACCCAAATGAACATCTCTTTCCTCCCTTCCCCCAGCCCCCACCCACATGATGAAGGCATTAGTGACAGTACAGGCTACACAGGCTACAGCTAAATGGAGACTAGCTACGATCTACAATCACACAGGGTCATTCTCCGATCAGTGTGTGTTTTGGCAGAAAGACAGGACTGCTCGTTTTCCTTTTCCCTCCCCCTCCTCCAATTACTAACACATGGTTGCTATAAATCTTCTGCCACCCTGTTGATGGCCATGACTGGACGTTGATCACACCCCGAGGACTGGCACGCTCAATGCCCCGTGGGCAGTTTTGGATGTGCTGCTCTCTAGGAAACATGGCATCTCCCTTGCAGAGCTCCCAGGGCATTCAAGCTGTGAAAATCCCTGGTTAATCTGTGGCAAGGCCCCATCACAAATCTTCTGAGAAGGGTTTTGAAGCACATCGGTCTGGCTAAGCCATTCTGATGTGGACACCAGGTGCTGATGACGGGGGAGGATGTCTATGTTCAGAGGGCTGAGGGCAAGGGACAATGGGGGACAGTGATGGAGCTATCACCCTAGCTGTGACAGACCCCTTTGAGGTTCAACAGTGATCTCACTTGACCTGCTGTTGGCAGGTGTGGTGTGGAATGAGCAAGTTCTCCTTTACCAGAAGAAAATGCTTTTGGAAAGCCACCTGATGGTGCAGTCAGGCCAACTTTGTGGCATCCAGGTCTTGTGTCATCCCACTGTTACATGATGCTACAAGGCAGACAGGAAGATGCGATCATGTGGCTTCATCTCCGAAGACATTTCAGGATATTTCGAGTGCCTGGCTGCAAAATCAGGAGGGCTGGAAAATTTGCAGGGGACAATTGTGTGGAGAGCTGAATCAGCTGGGCTCCACCAGGCTTTTAGGAAACTGCCTCATCAAATTCAAGTCCCACGTGTTTAGTTGAATGGGCTGCTTCTGAGTCTCCAGCCTGCCTGAAAGCAAGATGTTTCCACAGCAGCTAGCTAATGATAGCAATGCTTAGCATGACTACAGTGCTCTTCATCTCCAAGCACCTTCCTTTCAAATTAAAGCTCAAAACCCCACAAGGCAGGGAAGAGTTACCGAGGCTTAAGAGAAATGGAAATTGAGGGAGGAAAAGGGAGAAGGCTGTGATTCTAGTCATTGAGGAGAGGCTTATTTGAGAGCTGAGGACTGCAGCTCGGAACATCAACTCACAGGGAGAAAAAGGTCTAACAAGAAAATTTTATGCCTAAGGTTTCTTTGAAGGTGAACAGCAAAGTAAAAGCAAATGTGGAGATAAGCGCCAACATCCGTGCGGAACAGATGCCCACATCGGAGAAGCTGGTAGGAGCTTTCAGAAAACAAATGAGTTCCTGAGTATTTAAACTCTACTTCTCCCCTCTGCAAAACCCTCTTTGCATGTCCTGGGTCACTGAAGATATCCCAGCATTTGGCACCACAAATTCCTGGAGACTCCTCTCAAAAGGGATGGATGTCACACCAGGATGTCCTTCGAGATGATCCCAGGACACTGGGGAGCAGTACAAGGAAAAAAACTCCAGCTTCAAAGACAGAGGGGAAGTGTTTTAAAGGATTGACTAAAGCTGCGCAGGATGGCCTTGGCAGCTTGATTAGGAGGGGTATTTGGTATGGAAATCCCGACCTTGCTCACTTGCAGTTTTTGCTTTATCATTTAGCTTAATGGGCTACTAATTCAAAACCAGCTGTAAACAGGGCTGGCTATGAAAAAAATTAACGCTGCCTGCCTGTGGAATTTAAGAATATATAGTAAAAATAATCATAAAAAGAAAGAGCCCTAGGTTTTCCATCAGACAAAAATATTTGTCATTGAAAATTCTGCTTAAAAAAAGAGCACCCCAAATTGGCAAACTCCTCAAAACCTTACATCCCAAACAGCCTCAGCAACTTTAATTTCATATCCAAGCACAAGTTTCATTTACAATACCTACAATAATGGTGTTTAATTGGATTTATTTCTCCACACTAGGTTCCCAATGGCCTACTTTACTCGTTTTCTCAGCTCCTTGAATGTTATTTACAAATCACTCTCTGGGATTTAATTTTAATGCTAGCTTGATTTCTCCCTCTACCCCCTCCTTTTTTTCTTTTTTTTCTTGTAGGTACTTTTCTTTAATTGTATTTGTGGATTTGCCTTTTAAATAGGCAATTGTGACTACATCCTGAATCTGAGTAAGTTGCCAAGAGCAGAGCTCGATTTGAAAACAGCAGAGCAGTTAAAGGGAGCTGGTGTAACACCCAGCATTTATTGTTCTTTTCATGGGAGTACCTGCAGGTGTTTTACTTGGGCAGGTGCCCCTTTGCAAAACAACATGGGTCCCTAATAACACTCTACCCCAAAGCTCTGCACAGACGTTAACTATTTAGGCCTCCAAACATCCCATGAGTTGAGTGCATCTTCATCATGTGGTGGTAAAACAAAGATACTAAGGAGCCCTAGGCCAAGATTTTTTTAAAGTGAATATGGGGACTGGCTGCCTTATTGTTGATTTAGTTTCCAACAAATGCCGCAGCCTGCTTTCTGGAAATGCCCAGACTCTGCGCTTTTTCAGAATCACATCCAAAGCCCGAGTCTCGTGCCGATGCTGGGGCCGTGCTGCCTGGTCTCAAGGTATGCTTGGGCAGCACAGACACAGGAAAAATACTTGGACTCTGTTCTGCTTTCATACCTTCTTTCCTTGGAATAAAGCAGAGAGTAACACCTCAGTGTCCACCTCTTGCTCTCAGCCCCAAATGCAGCGGCACTAGGTGACTGGCAGGCTGGGGGGTATGTGACAGAGGAATGGGAAAACAAAGCGTTTGCACAACTAGAGTGAAAAAAACTCCTGGCAGCAATTTCGTTTCTAGCTTCTCACTTGTTCCTTCTACCACCACTTCAAAATTGCAGGTCTGCTTATGCTTTTGATGCAAAATCAGCGCATGTGGGTAAAGATAGCTTAGGACTGCAATGTATATCAGGAGTAGGTCTGCAGACAAGCTGAACCTCACTGAAGGCTGTCCAGGCCTGAGTGGGGACACAATGTCATGGCTCAAAGCTTGGCTAAAGGTGGTTACTGGTTAGTTGATTGGTTTTCTGAAAAGGGAAGGGGGAAGGATGAAGAAGGTGAGCAGAAGAGACCAAATGACATGTAGACAAGAAGGGAAAGCCCTTATTTTCCTGCATTTCTGAACTGCTTTGCCCATCCCTAGCTCTGAGTGTTTTTCAGGATGATGGAGAATGACCCAGCTAAAGAGCTACTTCAACATAAAACATATACTGACCTGTAAAAGGATTGGGGAGTGTGGGTAAAACTCGTTCTAAGGGGGGAAAAAAAACAATAAGCAACATGCAGGAGAAAAGGAAAAGCTACTTTTCACACTAAGCAAGCAGCAGATACAAACCTGATGGAGTGGTCCATCCCCAAATTAGATGAACTAGAGTGGGTTTCATACACAGAGCATTTTGCTGGCAACTCACCTAATACACATCAACATCCTCTGGGATGGGAGTCAGAGAGAAGACATTTGAGAAACTAAACAAATAATACCTACACAGCAAGAGGGATTAAGCACCTGCAGTGAAGGTAATTGGAGTTGATGGGCCACATCTCCCCTCTTTGAGACCACTCATGTCATCACACTACAGCTCCTCTTAGCTACACCTCTGGCTGGAGGCTACTCTTGGCGGGTAGTTGCCTCCCCGGAACCTTCTCCACAATGGATTTCTTGTCAGAATCCGAGCATGGGAGCAGTCACCCTGGTGAATCCACAAGGGCACTCTGTTTCTTTTGAGCCTTTGTCTTCCAATGGGAACAGAGTTTTTGCAGATTCCTCAACCTCTAGTTGCACACAGAGCCTGCTGGTTTGGTTATAGGGATTTTAACAACGCGTCCGCATTACACGTCACAGCAGGACTTTGTTACACGTCGCTGCTGGCTTCCCGCTTTGCTTCTTCCACACAAGGATCTCAAAGCGTTGCACAGACACTGTGGGAAACTGATGTCAGAGAACTCAGTCTGAGGCTAACAGTAGTGTTAATCCTGTTTTATAGATCGTGCAGCTGATGCACAGAGCAAGGAAGCAATTTACCCAAGGTCAAAAGCCAAACTGTTGGCAGAGCCAGGAGCAGAACCAAGAATTTAAAACTCCCCAGGCCTGACTCTGATCACTGGCTCTCCCTTCACTACCTTCAGAGCTTGCTGGGTGCCTGACCAGATGGAGGCAAGTTCCTACGCAGGGACTGATGGCCAGGTAGACGTTTAGCTGCAGAGTATGCCACTACCTAACAGCTGATAGGCCCGGGGCAACGAGCTTTCTCCTGGCTCACTTGTGAGGACGGTGCTAAGAGCAGTGCTGATGAGCACAGAGCTTGGCAGGATACACGGGCAGTCTGCTAGTACTCCCTCATCAACTATAGCTATTTGGAGGCCAATGCACTTCATACAAATGCAAGGAGCTAAGTTTCTGACTTGCTGGAGCCCAGGGGGATGTAGCAGGTCAGGCCCACCCTTGTGACACTGGCAGATCTGCCCTCATGGTGGTAATGGAGCTGTTTGAATCCACAGCAAGCGCAGGGGAGATTGTCTCTTGTAGAAAATACACAACTAGCCTGGATCTCTGTGTTTATGTAGCAACAGGGGACTATTGTTCTGCGAAAGCAGGCTGTTGTGCTGACATGAATTCCTTGTTATTTAGTTTGGTTAAATAACTCAGCTCCCCTTTACCTTCTTCCTGCACAGCAGGCTGCAGGCTGCACAGCATAAGCAGTTAAAGCAAAGCGCTACAGCCTCATTACCATGCTGCTTTCTATTCAAGGACTCTACTTCTGTTCCCCTGCTCGCTGCCTTTATCACTCCACCCTGGCTCATTAGCAGTGTCTCAGCCTTCCCACATCTGGCTGTCACCCTAAACGCTTTCCTCCTTTCCTGAGTCTCCCTGTTATTGACGGTCCCTGGGAAAAAACCACGGGGCTTGCACCCCGGACCACTAAGAGAGATTTCGGTCCCAGTGACGCTCCAAACCCCAGCAGCAGCCACCAGGAGCAAACGCTCAGGCACAGCAAAGCATGGGCAGAGAGTTAGGAGAAGGGGTGCAAGTGTGTGTGCACAGCCAGCACCAGCGCTGGGGCGCTGACAAAAAATGGCACGTCCGAGGAAAATGCCAGCTCTTCTTAGGAACCTGCTTCTCGCTGGGATCAGATTTGCTGGTCTGAAACAATAGCTCTAGCAGAAGTCTCTGGAGGAGGCAGTGGCTGCTCACCCTTGCCTTCCCGGAGGGTGCAGAGGATGCGAGCTGCCGCGGATGCAGCAGGGGACCTGTTGAGGTGGAGGTCTCCTGGAGCTGAGACTGTTTAGCCAGCAGGATAGCATAAGGATGTGCGTCTCTGCCCTCCTGGCTCCCGTTTTACCCACTGCGATGGGCTAGCTCAGTGGGAGGCAGAGGTCAACTGATTTGGAAGAGCTTTCATTTCTTCTCTTGGCCTTGCTGGAATGCACCGGGTGCTGCACCTGCTTCTGTGTGCCTGTAGGGAGGTGGGTGCTTGACTCTACATCACACAGGTGTGTACGTCCGTGTACATACTCATGTACACGTATGTATCTGTATGCTTGTATAGCAGTTGTGTATCTGATATACATATGCACAGCTTTACACTTCTGTGTTGCATAGGTTACGATACAAATTGTGACTTTTACTCATAATGCTCTTCATAGCTGAGTGGAATGAAAGGAAAACACATTCCCTCCTTCCTAATACACTTAGGGAGAAAACCCTTTCCCTTCAGCTGCAGGACTACTACCCACCTCTGTTGTTTTGTGATGGCAGCCCTGACTTCACAATTGCCTGTCAGGTAATTTTCAGAGATCTGTGTTACTGTCCCTTTCCTAGGTCATAGAATCATAGAACGGTTTGGGTTGGAAGGGACCTTAAGGATCATCTAGTTCCAAACCCCCTGCCCTGGGCAGGGACACCCTCCACTAGACCAGGTTGCTCCAAGCCTCGTCCAGCCTGGCCTTGAACACTTCCAGGGATGGGGCATTCACAGTTTCTCTGGGCAACCTGTTCCGGTGCCTCCCCACCCTCTCCGGGAAGAACTTCTTCCTGATCTCCAATCTAAACCTCCCCACTTTCAATTTAAACCCGTTAACCCTTGTCCTGTCCCTTATAAAAAGTGCCCCCCAGCTTCCTTGTAGCCCCTTCAGGCACTGGAAGGTGCTATAAGGTCTCCCCGGAGCCTTCTCTTCTCCAGGCTGAACAAGCCCAATTCTTGCAGCCTTTCATCATAAGGTCTCGCAGTATTTTGTGCTCAGGGGGTTACAGACCCTGTTCCCAGGCTCTGCAGAGCAAAATCAACCTACTGGTTTGCTAAGGCTGCAAAACACAGTCCTGCCTCCCAACTCTTTGTATCCACAGATGTGTGATGTGGCTTCCCCTCTTGCATGGGCTCTGGTGTTTGTTGAGCCTTTCCAGGAACTAACTCAGCTCAGTACAACGTAAGAAAATGTTTGGGGGAATTTTGGGGGGTGGCTGGTGAAGCTCAGTTGCTTTTCCACTGGTTTAGCAGTTTAAACTTGCTCGGTGGGTTGTTCGCTGAGTACCAGAATAAGGGAAACAACAAAAGCATATGGCAGAGGGGAGGAAGGGATGGCAGCAAATTATTACATCCATTGGTTCATCAAACTATACCCGAGAACCCTCTCCACAAACGTATTCCATACTGCTGTTGGAGACAGCTTCCTGGGCAAGACAGACCTTTGGTATGGCCATTTTTGTGTTGCTGTAAACCCAGTCTCCAGGAATGAGGGATATAAATCTCTCCACCCACAGCAGGCTACATCCTTCTGCTACATCCTTTAAGGAAGATCACTAGCCATCTATTCACACAGCTCAAGGGAGCTGCTTTTGTATTTTAATGCATCTTCTATCCGCAGCGTTGACATCTAAGGCACTCGGTCTCTCTGAGAGGTTTTCAGTGCTGGCTGAGATTTCCTGGAATGGTAGTCACCCATTTTTCTTTATAGCTAAACTGTTCTTTCACATCGTTTTGCTAGCTCCCCTTCTGCCCTCCACCTCAGGCAAAGCTGCCAGTACCTCATTATTAACTCTCTGGTTGTTTCTTCCCTCCTGGCTGCCATTCTTTTTTTGTGCTGCAATGGGACACTGAGGAGCCATCGCTGTATCTGCCTCCCTAGTGGGACATTGCCCTACACTGAGTTTGTTCTCTATTTAAAAAAGAAATGAATTCTCTGATTCTAGGGATGAAGAACACTCTCAAGTATTTGAGTATCTGCTGTACCTTGCAAAAACTTGGCACTGCTTTATTCTTCTGCCTGGATGTGTGGCTGGGAGTGTGCATTACCTGTTATTTCAGCTACTGTGTGATCATGACAGCATGTTTTTCATCTGGGCTTATAGGTTTTTTCAGCTGCTTTCTTTATCTTTATGAGGCTGGATTCCCTTCACTCATCTCCCCCCTGATTTCTTAACCTTAGAAATACCAGCTGTAGTCTGCCTGGATTTATTTTTTTATTTTCTCTCTGTCTCTCTCTTCCACACTAACAGGAAGGAGAACAGAGATTTCCTGAAACAATATGAAGCAATTTCACACTGAAGAAATAGGGATTAACTAAGCAACAAAAAATAAAAGTTAGAAACAGTCCACTGAAAATCATCAAATCTCTCTCAGCTCCTGCACCTCTATTCTTCTGGCTCTTGTGAAGTTCTCTAGTGTTTTCCAACATAAATGGGCCTTGAATTTCTAAAGTAAAAAAGATAACCAAAATTCAACAACTTGAAAGAAGGAAAGTTTTCTTCAAACCCATCAAAAGGAGGCTAAAATAGGACCCTATTGCAAGTCATCTTTAATAGTTGCCACATTTCCTCCTGGAATAGTTAAAAGCAACTTCGCGAGATCTCCCGGGGTCTGTTACAGGTTCTGCCGCTCATTTTATGACCATGGGTAAACCGCTTCTTCGCTCTGCACCTTAGTTTCCTACTGCAACATGGTGCTAATAACACTCACCCACTTCTAAACAATGTGCAATGTTGAAATATTCATTGCTAGCAAATCCTTTGAGATCCTCTGAGGTGAAGTTCTGAAGTCATGCAAAACGCTTTTGTGGCAAAACCAACCCCCCAGCTAAAATCACATGTGCATACGCACATTATTGAATTTCATCTTGTATTTTGTTTCAGTGATGCATTTCAGCTCATCTGTGTAACAGGAACCAACAGAGAGGACCAAATTTAGAATTCAGTCACAAATAATGGATTCTAAACTTAGCATTATATTAATATCAGCAAGAACAAATCTGGAGTATTTGAAAATTGTGTTCCAGATTGCTGCCTGGGGATTTTGTTTGAATCTCATGACAGTCACAAGACCAGGGTGAAAAGACTTTCAAAGTAGAAATTTGCTTTGTGTCTTGCAATGCTACAGGAAATCAAATAGATTTTCTTTTATGACAAACTTCCACAGAATACACCCAGATTTTTAAAAAATGCAAACTGCCATGAAATAAATCCAGAGGTGGTAAACAAGAATGCCAATGGACTTATCCTTTTGCACTACACCTGTTAAAAAATAACCAAACCAGAACATTGGCTTTCTGGTGATTTGATTGATCTGACCACACACAGCAGAAACTACACTCAAGTGCATCCCATACTAAGGCTGCTTTACACAGCATGCCTTGTCTCTGTTTCGAAGGACATGCAGGGCATGGCCTGAGTTTTTTAATTCAGTCTGGGACTGCCAGAGGAATACAGCCCTAAGTCCCTTTTGCGTCTGTGTGTCCACTCGTGTCAGTGGGTCATTCTGCTGCAGTCTATTTCTGGTGACAATAACAACATGTGGTCCACGTTGAGCCCAAATTTTCCACCTGGAATTGGGAGTTGCATTTGGAATATACCACCGTGTGTATGTGTGTGTGGGTGGTAGATTGAGGGCTGGGGCTCTCATCAGGGTCAGGTTTGAATCATCTGTAAAATGCAGAACCAACAGGTAACTCCGCTCTAGAGTTTGGTCTAGACCCAACTTCTGTCTGTTTACACAAACTCAGTAACTGAAAGGTAGCAGAATGAGATCCAAGGAATTTTATCCCATATTTCACCTGCTGATTACCTTTTTCCCCATGTTCCCTATGGTATGCCCCTTTAAATCATCCTGTCTCTTCCTCCTTCTTTCCCTTCCATTTTCAAACTCATTTCTCTTTTTCTTGACTCCCTCTTGTTCTCCTCAGGCTCAGTGGCTAGTTCTCTCCATCTCTCTGAATTACTTGTCATTTCTCAGCTGTCACAGACCCTCTGAGCCCCGGCCTTCTGTCTCCCTATTAAAGGGGCTGTCGCTCTAAAGGATTTTTTGTTTCCAGCTTTACACCAAACACGTTTTTATTATTTTAACAACATCTGACTTCAGCAAAGGAAGTCAATCAAAGGGCTTGACTGTAAACCTTTGCATTTGGCTGTGTTCGTGTTTCACGCCAAGTATGAACATGTAGGTATCTGAGTGCTGAAGGCCAGTTCATGGCTGGAGGTTCTAGGGAGTGGGATGGCAAGTGGAGGATTTCCTGAGTTTTGATCACCGTGTGCTTTCTGTTTTTTTGTGAGAGCAATCTGGACCTCCCTTCACCCTCTCCCATACTCACTGTAAAGGTATAGGCTGGCATTTGTGACCCCCAGCTTGTTGGCAGCCACGCAGGTGTAGTTCCCGTAGTGTTCCTCAGTGACGTTGGCCACCATCAGCAGAGACTGGGTCCCCGTGCTCTTTATCTCCAGGCCGTTGGCGCTGTTTATCCTGGGAAGACAGGAGAAGAGGTGTGTAGTGCAATGAGGGCTGTGTATCAGGAAGGAAGTCCCTGCCCAGCAGGCAGTAAACCCAAGTCACTCAGCCTAGCTGGCAGGTGAGGATGGAGGGAGGTAGGAAGATGTGAGAAGAAAAAGACCAAAGAAGGCATTGATGGAAAGCAGGAGGAGGGAATGAAAGGAAGTAGGAGCGCAGCGGGGTGAAATGCCACTGGTAAAGCAGTGGAGAAGCAAGAAAAGCCGAGCAAAAGGGAGGAAGCCTGTACTCAGCACCGACTAACACTTGGAAATGAACACACCATGGCTAGCTGGGCGCTAGTCCGCACTTCAACAGAAGGTTTTAGTGAAACCCACCAATCCATGTGTAGTATATGTATATGCCAAAGCTCAGTCACTCCTGAGCCTGTGCACGTGGGCCAGGTTGAAAACTAGAATAAATAACACAACCTTCTTAATGGCACGTAAATGCTCAGGTATGAGGGACGGATCCCTTTTCTCATTTTCTCTCATATACAAATCTGGGTGGCTCAGGTTACACGGATGGGGGAATCTTACACTTCAGCAGCTCCTTCCCCTAAATGAAGGCACCTAGAGTGGTATTAACAACTTGGAGACTAACACTGCCTATTGTTTTGTCTATATCATGGGCTATTTAATGCATGAACATCATCAGGAAGAAAGCATTATTGGTGTCTTAGTTGTGTATTGGCCCATAACTGAGTTAAAGGCAAGAGCTCCATCCTCTGCATTTCCTTCAACATCCCCAGCACAGAGAGGGATTGCCTCCTCCAGCCCTGACCATGCTGGCTCTGCCGAGTCTGATGGGGCCATCGTGACTTCTATGGGTTGCAAAGAGTAATTTGTTTGAGAAGAAGAGTTGGGGGGGACGATGGGTGATTCTCTAAGGAACCTCCATTGACTGGACTGAAAAGGAGAGAAGGGAAGAGGCGAGCCCAAGGTCTTACCTGGTATCATCTCTGTACCACTCGAAATCAGGCATGGGCACCGCTGACGCCTCGCACCGGAGTAAGGCTTGTCGTCCTGTGGCCGCTTCGTTGCTCTTGGACTCTGTGATGGTGGGAGGGTCTGCAGGAAGGAAACGCATGGTCACTTCGCACACTCCCAGGTGGAACGGAATGGTGAAACTGTGTCAGGGCTGGCTTCCCCATGCAAACCATTCCGGCTGGTGCAGGCCCACAGCTGCTGTGGCACATGATCCCCCTCGCTCCTCTGGAGAATACCTGCTCCTTGAACCCTCCCTAATACACCGCATTAGCATCACTCCTTACGCGTGCTTCTCTTCAGCAACACTGAATAAAGTTCTGTCATATATGCACAGGCATACAGAGGCAGAGTTAAGGTTAATGACGGCCTTCTGTAATTTATGAATATTTACCTGTGGATCTCCAGTTCACAGGGACTCATCAGAGAGAAGAAGATGAGAGAAAGACTTTATCAAGGGTAAAGAAAGACAGCAGAAGTAAAAGGAATAAAGTAGGAATTTAACACTAGCATGAAAATTATTTTCCATACAACCTCTGCATCTAATGTCAAAACTAGAGCAAGAAAGGAAAGGACTGAGGCAACACGTGTGAGACAGAAATACATTCATTTTGGAACTGTGGGTGCAACTTTGAGAGCCAGACCAGTTGTTGAGACACTTCTCTCAGTTGTCCGAGGTTACCAATCCTGCCCAAACCTTCCTGGACATCATGTTTTGTCACAGGCTCCAAGAAGGTTTGCTCGTGATTGCTCTGCATGAAGCTTGCCCTCAGGCCACAGTACTCCTACCTCTGCTTACTTTGATGCCCCAGAGTTGTGCCATCGTCAAACAAACCCTGAGAGACATACCACCGTGCTCCGTGGGAGCTCGGTCTCAGTGCTGGCCAGGTGTTGGGTAGAGTAGGCTCCGACATCTTCAATCCCATCCCTATGTTAAAAATGTTAAGCAACAAGCTTTACATGTTAAAAGGCAGAATTATTTCCACCTGGCTGCTGAGAGGGATCAGGGAACGAGTGCCTTGTCTCTCATCACGAATACTTGCACTCCCTGAGATTACGGGGCTGCAACTCAGCTACTTTGCTGAGACTCAAGTTACCATCAAACCTACTCCCTGCGTACAGAGTACACCTCCGCTGACTGCATCTGTCCCAGCACTGAGAGGCCAAAAAAAGAATCAGAATGGATTGGGTCTGTCAAAGAAAAGAAATAAATTCTGTCTGAAAAATGTATGGAAAGAAGTTTGCTGGTGAACACATCAGCCATCTCAGTGTGATCCCTTTCCTGACCTTAATCGGGATTTTATGCAGGGCTTTAGGGATATTGCAGCGCGCCCTCTAACATCATACATATTAATAAGTGTACATAAATAGGATCCTACATTCAAAGGCTGTGGGTTCACGTAAATATTCTAATTTGCAGAGGAGGAGGGGTAATAAAAGGATAGTGAAGGTGATTTTTTAAGCAGCCTTCTTCAATTTTTTGGTTCGAGCAGTGCATCGTCTTATCTTCTTGCCGTCTGCAGCGAGTCAAACCTTCTCCATCTCACGGAACCCAGCGCAAGAGCTGAGTCACAAAACACATGAGCACCTTCCCATGGGGCCTTGGAAATGACTCCGGCAGGCGAGTGCTCGGGGATGCTGCCAGGGTTTAGCTGCTTGCCGCTGGGGAAGCCAGGAGTGGGTTCCCATTAGATGTTTTCCCCCCCGACTGTCCCCAGGCCTCAGTTTCCCTGTCTGTGATGTGCAAGGGCCATTTTCTGGGAAGCCTGAAGGTGGTAGTGTGAGACCAAAGCACAGCGAGGATGCTGTCTCCTGCAGTCCCGGCTGACAAGCGCCAGCGGATGGTAAGAGATGGCCAGGAAGCTCCTATTTTTCAAGCTTACTGTAGTTTCCCCACTTTCTGCTGCTTGTGCTGTAGTTTAAGGAAGCAAGATAAGGAAAGACGTATGCAAATGTCTAGCTTTCATTCCCCAACAGGACTGACTTTTCTCCTGTGCATGGCCCAGGTGAACTCTTAGATTTGTTTCAAAATAAAATATCTGTCCTGAAGGAATTTATAAATTGCTTACATTACAATTTAGGCCACATAATAATACCACAATAGTCTATCACATTATATTTTCATATATTCCAACAGTAAAAATGTTTAAGATCTTACTGTAGCGTAGTTGTTATGAGTTGAAACTAAATCAAAATCAAACATTCTGACTTTATACAAACAATCTGTTTCAACCACTCTGAAAGCATAATTGAAATTACGTTTCACAGAAATATTTGAAAATATTAATTGGTTCTCATGGAATCTCTCGGGTTTATAGACTCAGCTGGTTTTGACAGGAAAAAAAAACCCTCACTGGTTTTAGTGCAGAAAATCTGCTACTACAGCTTCACATTAATGCCAAATTTGGCCCATGAAGCAGGCAATATTAAACAACCACCACCACCTAATTTCTAAGGGAATTATAAAAAACTCTGTGGATTCTAAAGATGCTGCAGGGAGCCTATAACCTTGACTTCTAAGCAAGACAAACAAGTTGATCTGATGTGATGGCCCAAAGGGAAAGAAAGAGACAAAGAGCAAGAATGGTATTAAAAGGTGCTAAAATCACCTGTGGTGGGAAATTAGACTGGGATGGGCTGAAACGCTTGCTGCCATCAGCTCTCTGCCCTCACCCGCTCCCCGAGAGTGCTATCCATGAATCAAGGCCATGCATATGAACAACGAAACATGTAGGTAACCGTCTCCAATTTCGGTTTAAGTTAATATTCTGGTGTGTAAACTGAAGGACAGGAGGAGAGGATATACCTCCTATCCATCCGTCCATCCATCCATCCAGCCAGCCAGCCAGCCAGCCATCCCTGCTGCAGTGGCATTAGCCTCCAAGCAAGGAAACAAAGTGGGTAGATGGGGATATTCATTTTAAATCACTGCAGCGCTAAATATGAGCCATAGAAATACAGAGGTGGACACGTACACTTGTAGCGTCGTCAGAGTAATGGCAGGCTGAGCTATTGTGTGTTTCTCTGAGGGAAGCAGGCCAGCAAAGTGAAGTGGGCATCTGCCTGAGAACGTGTGGCTGATGGGATCCGTGCCCCACTCATACAGGTGTGGACGGAAGCCACCTGGCTCACTGCGCCTCTTGGTGCTTTTGGGTGGGTCGCCGTATCCGTTGGTTAAGCAAGCCCCTTTCTGTATTGCACTGGTGCACGGAGGGTCTTTAGAGGAGGGCTTTATGCTAACGACCTGAAACCAGCACAGAAGCCAAGGTTTTACACCCTTTCACTGACACATGCCACGTCCCCCAGGCCCCGGGGGTGTGATACCCATGTGGCAGTGCTGGGATGGTGGGGTGCAGGCAGGAGTGTGTTTGCTCCGAGCCAGCTGAACCCTTCCTTATCTCTCCTTGCTGCCTTGCTGAAGCTTCCCTTCACGCTGCTGTTCTCCCGAATATCAATGAGTGAAACAAGGCACTGCCAGCATTTCTGAGGGGAGAGACAGGGGCAACTCACAGCTCCTTTCTTTTTCTCCCCTCTCTGTCTTTCTTTTTCTTTCTTTTCTTATATATTACCAGATTTAAAGCACAAACTATACCCTGCAATGTGTCTGATTGCAGTTTCCTCAGTGCCCACCCGCCCATTTCAGATCATACAGTATAAACCCAGCAGGGCTTCTCTGTGTATCCTAAAGCCACCCCTGCCTGTGGGCAAAGCCCTCACCGTTTACCCACTCCAGTCACGATGTACTCACAGTTCACAGTGACGCGGACTTGCTTGACGTCTGCTGAAGCAACCTCGTTGGCAGCTTTGCATTCGTACTTGCCCGATTGCTCTCGCGTGATCCCTAGGATCTCCAGGTACTCTTCCTCGCCTTCAAACTCTCTGCCTGGTAAGACAGAAAAATACAGATAGGCATTCAGATTTGGGAAGCCTCCTGCTTAAATTGCTATGGAGGAACAATCACAACAGGGATTCTGCAAATGAACAACAGTCATGAGCAAGTATCCAGAGAAGTGTGGCCAGCAGGTCAAGGGAGGGGATTCTCCCCCTGTACTCTGCTCTGGTGAGACCCCACCTGGAGTGCTGCATCCAGCTGTGGAGCCCCCAACATCAGAAGGATATTAACTGGTTGGACCAGTCCAGAGGAGGCCACAAAGATGCTCCAAGGGCTGGAGCCCCTCTGCTATGGGGACAGGCTGAGAGAGTTGGGCTTGTTCAGCCTGGAGAAGAGAAGGCTCCGGGGAGACCTTATTGCACCTTCCAGTACCTGAAGGGGCTACAAGGAAGCTGGGGGGGACTTTTTACAAGGGCCTGTAGTGACAGGACAAGGGGGAACGGGTTTAAATTGAAAGTGGGGAGGTTCAGGTTGGATATCAGGAAGAAGTTCTTCCTGGAGAGGGCGGGGAGGCACTGGAACAGGTTGCCCAGAGAAGCTGGGGATGCCCCATCCCTGGAAGTATTCAAGGCCAGGCTGGATGAGGCTTGGAGCAACCTGGGCTAGTGGAAGATGTCCCTGCCTGTGGCAGGGAGGGTGGAACTAGATGGTCTGTAAGGTCCCTTCCAACCCAAACCATTCTATGCTTCTATGATACGATGATTTTAAAGTTATTTCAGAAGCCATAAGAACAAGATATTAGTGTTTTATACTGTTATGGAAAACCTGGGTTCTGAAAATCTGGAAGGAAGTGTACAAGTGGTACCAAAGCATCGCACCGCACAGGCTGCCCAGGCCAAGAAGCAACATCTCCCCCATGTGAGACCGGAGTAAGTTCACTGATGTGATGGGCGAGTAGCTGGGGAGGTTATTCAGCCTGTGGCCGATGGGCTGGTTCAGGGCTGGCTGGGTTCTCAGATGTGGTGATGTATTGTCAGCACCGTTTCCTCCACTGCAAAACTGTGAAAAACATCTTGCTGTCTCTCAGAGCAACCACCACCCTGAAGTGCCATTGATCAGATCGAGCTACTGTTAAACACAGCCAAACTGAGAGAAACAAAGTGTAATGGGATCCGTGGAGACCAATAATCATCACGAATCCCTGATCTACTGTACATACAAAATGACATATTTAAGCCGTGCTGCCTCGCTAACACAGTTTTGAAAGCAGTGACTTGCACGTTGGGGTTACAGCCAGGGGCAGGAATCAGGGGAGGTCTGTGGCCTTGCTTTTAATTCACTGTGTGACCTTGGGTGAGTCCCTCTCTTGCTCTCCCCTTGTGAACTTCAGCTAATAGCCCCCCTCTCCCATCACCTCCTGGTCAGAGAAGGTCAGTGAGGTTAACCTATGTAAAACACATTAGAATCGTTGGATGAAAGGTGTCAGGGAAACATGAAATATTAGGATTGGTATATCTATCCTATTCCTTCAGCAAGCAAAGTAAGGCTCCTCCTGGAAAGGATCTGACGCTTCCCTCTTCTGAGAGGGCTGCAAGCCCCGATCTGCACCACGCAAAGCCACAAGCCCCAGTTGCACGCCTGTGTTTACAGAAAGCGTCCCCTAACCCGAAGGTCAGCTCACAAGGGCTCCCATTCCGGTTCTTTGGGGGTGTGTGTCAGATTTTCCAAAGCAATTCTCCCCCCAGAAGACATTTTCTGCTCAACAGGTGCTGAGCACTTCCGAAACCCTGCCCACACCACCTGAATGCTTAGAGCTGTTTGATGGGGTTCAGACCAGGAAGACGGGGCTGTTGTCCCTGCCCCTGCGGCACTGTGTGACAGCGGCGGGTAAGCCCCGTCTCCAGAGCTGAAGTTCCCATGGAGCCTCCTGCAGTGAATCCTACCGCACAGGCACAGCCTCGCTGCAGCCTGTTGGCCAGGTCAGGATGGCCGCACGCACTAGCAACCACCTGCATTTCCCTTCTGCATCAGAGACGGGGACTTCAGCTTCAAAATCTGCTTGGGGTTCTGTCCCTTACACAGTTATTTTTGCCTTTTTTATTTTTTTTTCCCCCCAGGCAATTTTCAGTACCACTCTAGGGGAAAACCACACCCCCATCACGGAGACTCAGCATGAAGACAGCAGCATACCTATTAAACTCATGCTAAGAGGAGGTTTCTTGCCTCTCTTTCAGCAGGGCTAACCAGCGGTCCCTCTGCCAGCACCTACCAGATGTTCAGGTGAGCGGAAATCTCAGTGCTATGTCTAAAACTTACAACTGCTTCGAGGCAGGTTTTCACCTGCCCTCGCAGTCTGCTGAAGGGCTCTGCTGCATGGCAGCCCTGCACTTCACAAGGTAGGAAGGCAAAACTGACTCCTGCTGCCCACTCACCGCTCCGGGACATGGCTCTGAATCCTCTGCTCTGCACCAGGGCTGATGCTATGGAGAGTCAGTGGCGAAGGAAGCAGGTGGGGTTTTCACAGGTATTGTTTGTCGCTGTAACTCAGGAATGCGTGAGGGAATCAACCCCTGTAGGACCAGGGTTAGGTGAGTCACAGTACTGGAAGGGACTTCAGTCACCATCTAGCCCGTTCCCCATCCTGGACACACGGATCATGCCGCGAGAGAGCCATCCTCTGCCCTCCAGCAGCAGAGGCTCTGCAGCTGCTCCAGAGGCTCTGTTCCCGTGCTTTGCTGTCCTTTCCACTGGAGCAGTTTCCCTGAAGTTTGACCTGAGTCTCCCTTGCTGTAATTTAAAGCTATTATTTTTGTCTTAGCCACCACAGACAAAAAGAACAAATCATTCCCTCCTTCTCTGCTATAGCCTTTTATCAACTTTTAAATCACTTATGTTCCTCCCTCAGTTGTCATCTTTTTTTTCCTTTGGCTGAACATTGCCAGGGTCTTTCAACCTTCCTCCGCAGGGGACGTTTTTTTAGACCCTTGATCATCCTTGCTCTTTCTTTCTAGACCTCTCTGACAAGTTCACATTTTTCTGGAAGTGCAATACCCTAAACCGAACACAGCAGTGAGGTGAGGTGTTGTCACGGCCAAACACAGATGAAGGATTGCATCGCAACTTCTGCGCTGTGCTCCTGCCCGTACAGCCAATACGTTGTGGTTTTGCCATAGCGTGAGTCGTTTTGGCTTGGGAACTCTTAATTCCCAGATCCTTTTATCACATACCGCTACCTGCTAATAATGCTCTTGGAAAACTCCCCCCCCCCACACACACACAATCTGAGCTGACAACCGACACTCTCCCCCTTTCAGAGCAGCACTCCCCGTTGGTAGGTCAGCCAGTTGACTGGAAAGTTAATCAGACATCAGGGAAAGACTCACAAAGGAAAGGTTAAAACGTAATTTGCCTCTGCTTTGCAAATCATTTGCTCTGCCATTCTGCCTTGTTTATACACAGGGTTCATTCCAAGTGGGACTTGCTTCTCCTGCAATTTGCCCTTGTCACTAGACTGTCACCATAATGAAAAGAGGGTTGAGGGTGATTTAACCAGCTCTAATGGAGTGGCACCCTCATTAAGGGTGCTGCTAAGTCTGTCTGACAGAGAACCACATCAGTGGAGCTCCAAAGTGTCTTCAAAGGGTACATACTTTGCCAGGGGAAGATGTTTATCACCTTTTCCCCTCTGAAGTGTGCACCATGTCCGGCACAAGAGCTTTCACAGCTACGCACGACCCTTCCCGAAACATGATGAGCTGCTGGTTTGCCCAGTGGAGCTCTCTGGGAACGAGTGAAAGGGAGGACTTCTGTTTTAAAGGGCACACCAAAGACATCAATAGGCCTATTCAGCTCCTCATCCCCCTGCTCCAGGACACAGATATGAGCACAACACTTCAGGGAAGGTTTCAATCTCTTGCTGAAATAGTGGCACTGCTCTTGTCCCTGCACTGGTGACCTGTTTCAACCCTGGGCACCAAAATTTTTCTACAAGAACTCAGCTACTGTCACTTGCAAGACAGACCCTTTTGCCTTCAGCCTTATCCCCCCTAAGAGTACGTTAACCACTTCTAACAAAAAGCATTTATATGAAATTGAGGTGTCATAGTACAGATCAGGGAGAGGAAAGATGCATCACGGTGTGTTAGAAAAATGTCAGGTTGTGGTATCTTGCACAGAGCTGTAGAGATGTTTTCACTAATTCACCTTGGCAGCCAGATTAGGTGAGTCGTATTGACTCTAACCTGTAAGGCAAAAGGGGGGTGGGGGGAGTGGGAACAGAGCTTTACACACGGAGCGAATTTACAAATGTTTCTGCGCAGGAGCCAGCTTTGGCAGGAAGCTGATGGTTGTCACTGTGCAGTTTATCAAAGCGGGGCAGGAGAAGGCTTGGACAATGCTCTCTGGTACCAGCAACAATGAACATATTCTATTGGGTGAAGAGAGGGAATGCCAGCTCCTGGCAAGCGAGCCACTCCATTCCCATTAAGAGAAGATGTTTGCCTTGAGCATGTTATCCTGGGATGAAGTCCTGACCCTACTGCCAAACGTTCCTTGCTGACAAGGGTTGTTCCCTGGCTGTTTTGTCCGGTTCAGTACAACCCTTTCCCAGTGAGGAGCCTTCCAGCTTTCCCTGGGCAGGGCGTGGATGACTCCTCATGTAGCGCAGGTCTTCTCATCCCAGAGCATCCCTTCCCATGACTCCACGCAACCTGCTTCCCTGCTGGTTTTTTGCCCTTCACATGTTCGTAGTTAGCTTGGCTTCTTGCTGCAGCCCCATTAAACACATTCTTGCCAAGCTGCAGCTCCTTAACTCTGTCCCAGTAAATCAGAAAGAGGAGCTTTCTGCTCTGGAGGCTGGAGATAGAGAGTACAAGCCTGGGAGGCTTGACAATCAAACCAACAGGGAACGACCCCGAGCAGAGCGAGCCAGGCGCCTGCTGCTGCTCGGAGCTGGCAGAGCCCGTTCTGCAGAGGGATCTGCAGCAGACGGCTTTGATGTGTGCAGGGGGAAGGCTTTGAAGGCCCGCTTGCCTCAGCCACATTTCCTATCC